GATGGAGCCAAGCAGAGGTGCCTGTGTGTGTTTGTGTTGCCAGTGGAGAACTCAAGTGGAGTGGAAGATCCTTTGAAAACGAGACTGACACTTTCCCATTCTTCCTTTCCTTGTTTTGTTCAAAAGCAAGAGGTTGCACTAAACGTGAGATGGAGAGATCACTGGACAAGTCATTTGGCAGGAGGTGGAGCTCATCGGCTTCTTAACATAAGAACTGCCTTGCTCGGAGAGGCAGAAGGTCCATATCCCTGGGCAAACAGCAAATCACTTGGGAGACTTCGCAGACATTGTCCCTAGGATTCTGTGCAGCAATGAATAACTCGTGCGTTCGTGCGTGCGTGCGTGCATGGGGAAGGGGAATTCTTTAGCCAGGGTCCTGTATCAATGCATGTGAAACTTAGGAAGAGCGTTAGAACAGCAGACAGGGAGAGAAACTTAGGACCCAGCTGCGTTAGTAAAGAAGCAATGGTTCTGAATGTGCTATAAATATGTAACACCAGATGGTGCCAGAGAGCAGGAAATATTTAAAAGCGATTTTCTATAAGGGTTTTTCCATTTTCTTATAACAATCTAGTTTCTGACTTATTTATAGGTCCCCTCCAGCATGTGTAGACCCACCCTTAGTGAGACAGATTAATGGAAAATCTACTGGGCAGTGAATGGACACAGTGCAGAGAAAGAACAGGAGAGAGAGAGTGCTAGAATAGATTGCAAGCTTGTTTGAATAAAGTTCCTCATATTATTTCTGCTTGGTTATTAATAAAATAACCTTACTGTGAAATAACTTCATCCTTACTGTGCATCACTTTTAAGAACACAAGGAGTGTCTGCTGGATCAAGTCAATGACCCATCTAGTCCAGCATCCTGTTCTCACAGTGCCCAACCAAATGCATACCCTCCAACATTCCTCAGATGAAAATAGGGACATTTCCCACTCCCCCACAAGTGGTTCTCCTTGACCCCCCCATTTGTTGTCTTCCCCTCATCCCTGCAGGACATTTCCTATCAGAAGTTCCACCACACCAATGGAGCACAGCACACACAGCCCCTTTCCTACTGTAAATCATGTACAGTGTTACCTCGGGTTACATACGCTTCAGGTTACAGACTCTGCTAACCCAGAAATAGTACCTCGGGTTAAGAACTTTGCTTCAGGATGAGAACAGAAATTGTGCTCTGGCGGCACTGCGGCAGCAGAGGCCCCATTAGCTAAAGTGGTGCTTCAGGTTAAGAAAAGTTTCAGGTTAAGAACGGACCTCCGGAACGAATTAAGTACTTAACCCAAGGTACCACTGTACATTCCATTTATTTCGGCAGTTTGTGTTTATTATAATGTAAACAACACGCCCCTTATTTTAGAAGTTTATAGGCAGCAAGAGAACTTTGGACTCTCTGCCTGATAAATGAGCATTGTTTGCTCCCATCACAGCGGACCATATTCTTCCAGGATAGGAAAAGCTCTGGACATGACAGATGCTGCCACCAAGAAGGGCTTTTGAACCAGATGACCGCTGATGTCTCTTCCATACCTCCAAAATCCCCCTTACAACACTTCCATTAATCATGCACTCTGTCACCCAGTCGGTTACTGATGATGACTGTGCATGTTTTTTCGTTAGGTCAAAATTGCCTCATGACTTTTCTTTTTGTGGCAAGCGGAAGGGGTGAAGGGAGAGCTAAAAACAGCTAGGAAAATGCAGGAGCGACAGAGAGAGAAAGAGAAAAGAGTGAGAAACAGGAGAAAGAGAGAGAGAGAGAGAGAGAGAGAGAGAGAGAGGGCAAGGAAAGGACGAAGAGGGGCCAAGTGAAAACTGAGCAGATATACTTAGGAAAATTCACACAGTATCCAGGGGCTTGGAAAGGGAGTAGGGAATAATAATAAAAAAGGTAAAGGTAAAGGACCCCTGGATTAACTCTAGTCAAAGGCGATTATGGGGTTGCGGCGCTCATCTCGCTTTCAGGCAAAGGGAACCGGCGTTTGTCCACAGACAGCTTTCTGGGTCACGTGGCCAGCATGACTAAACTGCTTCTGGCACAACAGAACACCAGGACGGAAACCAGAGCGCACGGAAATGCCGTTTACCTTCCCACTGCATTGGTATCTATTTATCTACTTGCACTGGCGTGCTTTCGAAACTGCTAGGCTGGCAGGAGCTGGGAGAAAGCAACGAGAGCTCACTCCGTCGCGGGGATTCGAACTGGCGACCTTCTGACCGGCACGCCCAAGAGGCTCAGAATGCACATTACAACAAAGTGGGTTGACTTTAACAGTAACGGCAGATGAATTTTTTCATGGCGTGGCAGCTTAACCTGAGTATGTTAAAGGCACAAGCACAAAGGCAGTTTTAGAAAGCTGGCGAACATTAAAAAGCTGGCAAACCTACAGGGTATCTTCCTCACCACTGATCTCTGGGAAAGATTCTCTACCACTTTAGCCCAAACAGCAATGCTTGCGGTGTAGTCCTATTAATTTGTACAGGTTGGAGTGCAAAGGTGTGAATCCCCAACCCTCTAAGACAGATTAACTTCTGTTTAAGTCAATTGCTCTGAAAATTCTTTCAGTTTAAGATGCACACCTTGATCCTAAGGCCATGATTGGAAGAAATTAGCCCAGAACTTTTCTTACACGTTTGTAGGATAGTGGGTTGCTGTTAAAGTACAAGCAGAACCAGGATTCACAGGGACTCCGCCCTGAAAAGCTTATTTTCCAAGGTCAGAGCCTGGAAGCAAGGATGTAAAAAAAGAATGCCTCTGAGCACACACAGAGTGTCTTCTCACTTCTGAGGACAGCTTTGCATATTACACAGCAGAACCACACTTTTGCCCCTCTCTCCCCTACATCCAGTGGGGAGATCTGGACAATCCTATCTCCCTAGCACAGACACTAACAACCACACATATGCATACACAACGGGCAATGAATTTGGGGCACCAGTGATGATAGCAGAGAAGAGAACAGGCCTGACCCACATGGCACTTCCACTTGCACAATCCCATTGAATTGAACGGGCTTCCTGTTGCATTGTGATCTATATGAATTAATGGGAAGTTGATGCCATCAGATACTCAAATCTCTCAAGCCACAGGGATACGGGACAGGGGGAGTAAGAACTTGGAAACTATAGTTCACCAGGCATGCACAGATGGACGCCACACTTCTGAGATCCTCTTGGCTTTTTCACACACCCCATAAAAAGGTAAAGGGACCCCTGACTATTAGGTCCAGTCGTGGTCGACTCTGGGGTTGCAGTGCTCATCTCTTTATTGGCTGAGGGAGCCGGCGTACAGCTTCCGGGTCATGTGGCCACCATGACTAAAGCCGCTTCTGGCGAACCAGAGCAGCGCACGGAGACGCCGTTTACCTTCCCGCTGGAAGTATTTATCTACTTGCACTTTGACGTGCTTTCAAACTGCTAGATGGGCAGGAGCAGGGACTGAGCAACGGGAACTCACCCCGTCGCAGGGTTTCGAACCGCTGACCTTATGATCGGCAAGTCCTAGTGTTATGTACTGAGTTGAATAGGATCCAAACTGCAGCAGTCTGATTGGTCCTAGAACAATAGGATCCAAAAGGCAGCAGTCTGATTGGTCCTAGAACAATAGGATTCAGAATGCAGCAGTCTGATTGGTCCTAGAACAATGCAGGAGTATGATTGGTTGGCAGGAACTACCCAATCATGCTCCAGATAGAAGTGAATCCACAACCTGATTGGCTTACAGTAGAATTCCGGAATCATGTGCAGCCCATTGTGTAAATAATGTATATAAAGCAGATACTTTGAGGGGACTTTCATTCATTCCTCCTCACCACTATGAGCTGAATAAAGAGCATGAAATCACTGAATATATTTCACTGAGACTCTGAGTATATTTCACCTAGGCTCTGTGTTTTAACCCACAGCACCACCCGCATCTCACCCACCCACCCCATACTACTGCTTTTATTGGGAAGTGAGTCCCACTTTCTTCAGGGGGGGCGTAATTCCAATAATTGGGTAGCAATTTCTACACAAGCAAACCGCATTCTACAAATATCAGTGCAGCCATGCAATCGCCCCACACTTTTCTCTGGCCAGTTGAGCCCACTCCTATATTTGGATGGCTGGAGCTTTAACACCCAGATTTATTCATGAAAAGCTCACCAGCAGCCCCCATCTTCAGGCCCCCCTCCCCATTGATACAAAAGCAGGCAATTTGTTAAGAGCTAAGAAGAGCCTGGGGACGCGGGTGGCGCTGTGGGTTAAACCCAGAGCCTAGGACTTGCCGATCGGAAGGTCGGCGGTTCGAATCCCCGCAACGGGGTGAGCTCCCATTGCTCGGTCCCTGCTCCTGCCAACCTAGCAGTTCGAAAGCACATCAAAGTGCAAGTAGATAAATAGGTAGTGCTCCAGCGGGAAGGTAAACGGCGTTTCCGTGCGCTGCTCTGGTTCGCCAGAAGCGGCTTAGTCATGCTGGCCACATGACCCAGAAGCTGTATGCCGGCTCCCTTGGCCAATAAAGCAAGATGAGCGCCGCAACCCCAGAGTCGGCCATGACTGGACTTAATGGTCAGGGGTCCCTTTAAGAGGAGCCTGAGATTAGCTCAGCGGGTACGGCGGGAGTCTGTTAATCTCAGGGTCCTGGGTTCGAGTCAAGAGATTCCTGCATCGCAGGGGGTTGGAACTCGAAGACCCTTGGGATTCCCCTTCCAAATCGACCATTCCATGATCCCTGCATTAAAATTCGTAGGATTTTGGGCAGTTAGTTAGATCTCCTGGCTTCCCCGGACAGGGCTCGCCCAGGCACATCAGCAAGGGTAGGCGCATGAGCTGAGAATCCCACGGATCCTCTCCGACAAGGGTGCGCAAAGTGGACACCCTCGAGGGGCACCCGACTCGGCAGCTCGTGGGTGGGAAACGCCGTTGAATCGGGACCTTCTACTTCCTCCCCGGGGCAGCCCAAACCTTTTCCCACAAGCGCGCGCACCGGGGAAGAGGAGGAGTCCCTTTTTGCACCTGGGGATGGGCGGCAGGGAAAGGGAGGAGCCGTCGCCTCCCTCCTCCTGACCCGAGGCAGAGCAGGAAGAGGAGGGCGTCGCCATCTAGATCAGCCACCCCGGAGGAGTCTCCTCCACGGTCCGGCGACCAGGGAGGAGAGAAACTACCCCCCCTTGCAGGATCGCAGGGGGCGCAGATGAGCGGAGATGGCTGCGGGTCTCTGGATCGCTTTCCTGCCTCTGGCCCAACTCCTGCTGCTGGCGGCTGTGACCCTGCAGCGCTCAGGTAAGCGGCGATCGGGCGCCTGTGCCCCACGCGTGTTTTGGGTGGGGTCCGGCGGATCGGAAGCGGGGAGTCCCCCGCCCCCCGGGTGGTAAGGCTTGTCCGAATCGTGGAGGGCGGGTTGGAGAGGTAACCGGAGAGCCCCGTGGGTAGCGCGTGGGACTGGGGGTCGTGGGTTCGGACCCCGCGTTGGGCGAAAGAGTCCTGCGTCGCGCGGGGTTGGGCTAGATGCCCATCGAGGTCCCTTCCAGCTCTGCGGGTCTCCGATTCCACGAAGAATGGACGTCGCGCCAGCCAGCGCGCCTTGGCAACTTCCTGGCGTGCGCGGCGCCTTCGCCACCCGTGAGCGCGGGACCCTGGAAAGTTTGAAAGCGAGTTGGTGGGGAGCTCTTTCGTTTCGGAGTTTGTTTTCTTTCTTTCCGTCTGAGGAAAGGGGATCGGGCTGGTTTGGAGATGGCATTGAAACTTGAAAGGGGTGCGGAGGAAGTGAACGGGCATCTCTACTTATTCGCTCTGCCAAGGAAAACTTTCCTGTCTCCTTTTGGTAGCTGGCGCAGTGGAACTGCGGAACTCGCTGCCACAAGAGATAGTGACGGCCACCAGCTTGGGTGGTTTTAAAAGAGGAGAAGGCAGATCCGTGGAGGACAGGCTGTATAAGTGGCTGTTAGCCTTGATGACTGTGCTTTTGCCTCCATGGTAGGAGACAGTTTGCTTCTGAATACTAGTTGCAGACCAACCATATAGGCTGGTTGGTCACTGTTGGACTGGTTGGTCACTGTGAGTACAGGATGCAGGACTAGATGGGCCCTTGGCCTGATCCTGCAGGGCTGTTCTTAAACTGCATATCCTGAAGCGATTGGTGGCTGCTAGTGCGTTTGTTTGCTTGTTTTAATGAAACACTGCAATATTTTCCCCTTCCACTGTCGTTGCTTTTGGTATATCTGTGCTGCTTTGGGCCGACTTATTAGTGCTGAAGACGTGATTATACCACAGTTCATGGCTCAACTGGGTAGATAATGCCAAGGTTTCATCCTCTTATGGGACGGCTGCCTGTTTCTGTATTGCTGGACTACATGATCCTCAGGATCTCCTCCAACTTTACAATTCTATTATTCTATATATATACTTCCAGTACTATCCCCGCATGTAGCAGCAAAACTGGACGCCTTTATCTGCCCCGCCTGCAGCGAAACATGTCTCTCCCATACCAGTCGCTGTAGCCACCACAGGCGCCGTAACTCTCCAATGCAGTGTTTGAAGCTTCCATTGTCCTAGGCGCATTTTGCGACAGGGAATTTCATTAGTGCAGGCAGTTTCTGAGCTCTGGGCGCCTAAGATTTCAGATTAAAACTGCAGAGTGGAAGGAAAGAAGGACTTTTTTCTGCCTCCCCACTTCCAGCTACTCTCTGAAGACTGGAGAAGAGACCTTCTTAAGAATAATTAGGGGGGTGGGCAGGGGAAGGACTAGAGTCACTAGACCATGTGAAAAATGAATTTTAGCTGCAGTTCATTCATTTTCAGCTTTGTATTCTTGTTACAAAAAAAGTGCACCTAGACATTGTTGCGCCCATAACTTAGGTTTAAGGTGCCAGACAGTGCCATTATCTGGAGGTGCATATCTGGGGATTATTACTGCCTTCACACACTAATACCGCATCTTGTAGAATTCTATCAGTTATATTTTATCTGCACAATTGGAATGAATTTCAGGAACCAAAATGCTTTTTAATGTGCAGAAAAAGAGGTCGGAATAGGCCAATATATATGTGGGCTGTCCCTGGATCAAGTGACTTTTATTCTTTATGTTCTCAAAGCTCTTAATGTAGCTCAAGGTTGTCATCGGAACTAGCCAGATGTTTAACTGATAATCAATCACAGTCAGTCCATCATTTGAAAAATAAGGCTTTTGAGCTGTCTTACGCGGGTGGTGCTGTGGTCTAAACCACTGAGCCTAGGGCTTGCCAATCAGAAGGTCAGCAGTTCGAATTCCCAGCGACAGGGTGAGCTCCCGTTGCTCGGTCCCTGCTCCTGCCAACCTAGCAGTTCGAAAGCACGCCAAAAAGTACAAGTAGATAAATAGGTACCACTCCGGTGGGAAGGTAAACGGCGCTTTCGTGCGTTGCTCTGGTTTCGCCAGAAGCAGTTTAGTCCTGCTGGCCACATGACCTGGAAAAATTGTCTGCGGACAAACGTCGGCTCCCTCAGCCAGTAAAGTGAGATGAGTGCTACAACCCCAGAGTTGTTTGTGATTGGACTTAACTGTCAGGGGTCCTTGCCCCAAAATGGCAACTTGATTTAGTTTAAGGAGAGTAATCCCTTTTATGAGAGGGTGGAGCACAGAGTTCTTCTTAGTTTGTGTGGAGTGACTCCATGCTTCGATGTATTTGCATGATGGTTAAAGGTAAAGGTAAAGGGACCCCTGACCATTAGGTCCAGTCGTGGCCGACTCTGGGGTTGTGGTGCTCATCTCGCTTTATTGGCCAAGGGAGCTGGTCATGTGGCCAGCATGACTAAGCCGCTTGTGGCGAACCAGAGCAGTGCACGGAAACGCCGTTTACCTTCCCGCCGGAGCGGTACCTATTTATCTACTTGCACTTTGATGTGCTTTTGAACTACTAGGATGGCAGGAGAGGGACCGAACAACGGGAGCTCACCCCATTGTGTGGATTCGAACCGCCGACCCTCTGATCAGCAAGTCCCAGACTCTGTGGTTCTGGTGTCAGGATATCATTCTGATGTTATTCTGGTGGCACAGTCAGGTTGTGACTGGGAACACTGGTGGTTGACCATACTCTTCCAACAGTTTATCAGAAAGCAGCTTTTTAAGAAATGTTGCAACACTGACCTAGAAAGTTGTTCAATCCGATCCCAACACTTCTGGTGTTGTCTGTGCAGCAGCTTTGATGCACTCACACTCGATATTTGTGTTGTCAGAGCTTTTTTCCCAAAGCTTTAATTATACACAACTTATGCAAATGTTGCCTTATTTGAGCTAGTTAATGATTTGTGAAGCTGTTCTAGACACCAACGGAAAAGTAGTACGTCCAGTTTTTGTCCCAGCACACTTAAACATAATTTAATTCCCTGCTCCAGAATACAAGTGGTTTTTCCTTCCAAGCTCCTTCTAAGTCTTCCTTTTTTTGTTGTAAAAAAGAGCAATCTTCTTACAAACATGCAGCTGATGTTACTCATTCCACTAGGCCTCCCTGAGACAAGAGAGGCAGGAAATAGCAGTTATTAACTGGCTCCTTCTTAATGCTATATTTACATCGCTGACGGTTCGGATGCTATGCACAAAACATGATTGTTATCCTAAGCATTTCAAGTCAATTTTATTAGCTTATTGAGGAAATCCAGATTCTTGGTCCTTTAAGAGAAGTGGAGCTTCAATAAATCCCCAAAGCCTTTTTACTGATAAGAATGGAATAGGCCCGGTTGGTTTACTGGATTTGGATGTCAACAAATCTAAACAAAGCTACTAAGCTGACCAACAGAAATTCCATAGAAGTCTTATCTCTGAAGTTCCAATGCATCCTGTCCGTGTACTATAGCTGTAGAATTAGAAACAGGGAGGATGGTATGGGAAGGCTCTGTTCTAGAAAACAAAAAGGTGCGAATGAGTGCTATTATTTTGATCTAGGGATGGGCTGTACTGTAGGAAGATTTGTGGCTTGTAGTCAGGCAACAGCATAGCTGAATGTTGACTAAATATCACCCAGACAGCATTGGAAGATAATTCTGGAATTATTGTGCCTAAAAGAAAAAAAAATCCCTGAAGGATGTGACTTATCTTGCTGGAAGGTTTTGGATCTTCTCCCTAATGGTGATTAAATAAGAACATGAAATCTTGACTGGCTTACACCAAAGGTTCCACATCCTGCTTCCCATAGCTGCCTCTGGGAATCGCACAAGGAAGAAATGAAGGCTGAAGAAGAAGAAGAAGAAGAAGAAGAAGAGGAGGAGGAGGAGGAGGAGTTTGGATTTGATATCCTGCTTTATCACTACCTGAAGGAGTCTCAAAGTGGCTAACATTCTCCTTTCCCTTCCTCCCCCACAACAAACACTCACCCAGCAGCTGCATGTGGAGGAGCGGAGACTCGAATCTGGTCCCCCAGATTACAAATCTACCGCTCTTAACCACTACAACACACTGGCTCTCAATGTTTCTCTCCCAACAACTGGCATTCAGTGATGTTCTGTTTCCAGACCTGAAGTTTCCACGTAGCCCTCGTGGTTGTATAGCCCCAACAAACAAACCTTCCATGGTTTTTGTCTAGTCCCCCTTTGGTGACCATTGTTGTGCCTTGACTTTAAAGTAAAGGTAAAGGGACCCCTGCCCATTAGTTTCAGTCGTGGCCGACTCTGGGGTTGCGGCACTCATCTCGCTTTATTGGCCGAGGGAGCCGGCATACAGCTTCCGGATCATGTGGCCAGTATGACTAAGCCGCTTCTGGCGAACCAGAGCAGCGCACGGAAACGGCGTTTACCTTCCCGCCGGAGCGGTACCTATTTATCTACTTGCACTAACATGCTTTCGAATAGCTAGGCTGGCAGAAGCAAGGACTGAGCAACGGGAGCTCACCCCGTTGCGGGGATTCGAACCGCCGACCTTCTGATCGGCAAGTCCTAGGCTCTGTGGTTTAACCCACAGCGCCACCCGCGTCCCGCCTTGACTTTACTGCTAACCAATTTCAATGGACAACCCCCAAGCTCTAGTATTTTATGACAGGGAGAAAAACCTCTCCACATGCTTTCTCCAAGGCATGCAACATTTTATACACCTCTACCCTGTCACCATTTTTCTCAGCTAATTATCCCCAAATTTCCTCATAGGGATAATTTTAGTTGCCCTTTCTCCCACCTTTTCCATATCCTTTTTGAAATGGGGTGACCAAAACAACCACATGGATTTGGTTTCTATAATGGCATGATGATATTAGCACTTTTATTATTTTTGGGCCCCTTTCTTCTTTTCCCACACAGAATTCATTTTTCTCCACAGC